CTGATCTACCAGCATTGACCCCAATAACTGGCCTCAGGTTTGATTTTATTAATAAGAACTTTTAAGATTCATGCTACACACACACACACACACACACACACACACACACACACACACACACATCATTGTATACCTAAAAGCCTCCCTGAAAATTCGATCAGTAAACTTCTACAGCTGTCAAACACTTTCAAAAAAGTAGAATACAAAATTAATACATACAAGTCAGCAGCCTTCTTATAGACAAATGACAAATGGACTAAGAAAGAAAACAGGGAAACAGTATCATTTATAATAGCATCAAAAATATATAATATCTTGGGATGAATCTGACCAAGCAAGGGAAATACTTGTATAATAAAAAATTTAAGACATTTTAGAAAGAAATTGAAGAAGATACCAAAGACAAAAATATCCCCCAAGCTCATGGATTGGCAGGATTAACATAGTAAAAATGGCCATGCTACTAAAATCAATCTACAGCTCCAATGTGATCACCATCAAATTCCATTACAACTCTTCACAGAACTTGAAAAGAAAAAATTTAGCTTCATATGGATACACAAAAAACTTAAGATAGCTAAAACTATCATAAATAATAAAAGAATTGTTGGAGGTATCTCCAGCCCCTATCTCATATTGTACTACAGAGCTATTGCAATATAAAAAGCATGGTATTTGCATAAAACCATACATGTTGATCAATAAAAAGAAAATGAAGACCCAGGCATACGTTAATACACTTTTAGACACCTGGTTTTCTATAAAGACAAAAATATATACTGAAGAAAAGATAGCATATTTACCAAATGTTGCTGGTCAAACTGAATGTCTGTTTATAGAATGCAAATAGATAAATACTTATCAGCCTGTACAAACTTCAACTTCAAGTGGGTGAAAGACTGCAATATGAAACCAGATACATAGAACTGATAGAAGAGAAAGTGGAGAATAGTCTCAAGTTCATTAGCAAAAGGAAAGACTTTCTGACAGAACACCAATAGCACAGGAACTGAGAACACCAATTAACAAATGGGACTTCATGAAACTGAAAGCTTCTGTATATCAAAGGAAATCATCATTCACACAGAGCAGTAGCCTCGAGAATGGGAAAAGATTCCTACCAACTGCACATCCAATACAGGAATAATATCTAAAATATATAAAGCACTCAAAAAATCAGACATAAAAACCCAATTCACTTAAAATGGATAAACATCTAAACAGTGAATTCTCAAAAGAAGAAACTCATATGCATGAGCACTTAAAGAAATGGTCCACACTCTTATCCATTAGGGAAATACAAATAAAAACTACTTCTAGATATCATCTGACACATTCAGAATGGCCAAGATCAATGAAATAAATGGTAGCTCATGAAAGTGAGCATGTGGAGTAAGGAGAACATGTATCTATCCATTGCTGGAGGAATTGCAAACTTGTACAGCCATTATGGAAATCAGGATGATTGTTCCTCAGGAAGCTGGCAATAGATCCACCCTAAGATCCAGCTAAACCACTCTTGGGCATAAATCTAAAGGAAATTTCATCCTACTATAGAGACACTTGCTCAGCCATTATCATTGCTGATCCTCTCATATAATATGCAGAAATTATAAACAGTCTAGATATTCATCAAAAGAAAAATGGATAAAGAAAATGTGGTACATTTACACATGTAATGTTACTCTGCTTTTAAAAAAAATAAATCATGAAAGTCAGACAAATGGATTGAACTATCAAAAATCATCCTGAGTGAGGTACCCCAAACCCAGAAAGACAAATATGGTAAGTATTCACTCACATGTGGATGCTATGTGTTAAGTCTTCAATAAGCATTTAACCACAGAGGTCATGTATAGATAAGGGAATAGAGGAGAGGGTTGGATCTCCCTAGGAGGGAGAAATAGAATGAATAGTTATGGATGAATGGAGGGAGCCGGGGATGGGAGGATCCAAAAAGGAGGGTGAGGATAGAAGGGGCCGGGGGGAACACAGGAAGGGACAGCTAAAGTTAAGGACCTTTAGTGGGTTCATATAGAAAACTAATACGGTAGAAGCTTCCTAAAATATTACACATATAACAGCAATCTGAATGAAATTACTAAATAATGGAAGAAACAGAGTCCCAACTGGACAGACATCTGTCACCAAATGAAGCTTCCAGTACAGGAATTGGGTTACATTTAATTGAGTTGTTGGCCAAAGGATCTAGAGGAAAGCCTCCAAACAACTCAGGCTATTGATAAGACTATAGTTTGCTCCCCACAAAATGATGGTGAGGACCTATTGTTGAAGATGACACACAGCAACCTGAACATGGAGAGGTTTAGTCAGCGCCTACCTAGAGCTTTCCCCTCTGCTAACTAGTGTTCATGGTACCAGAAGGTTCTCTGCATGCTATCAGAGTAGAAAGATAAACATCAATGTAGCTACAAAGCATTTGATATACAATTGTTACTTACAGGATACACTGGTGCAATAGTGGCATTAACTTTTGGGAATATTTAACCAATATCTGATTGGATTTAAGGCTCACTCAGTGATATGGAACCAATATCCCACACTGCTTGAATGTCCAAGAGCTGGAGACCAGATAGGCCAGTGACACAGGGGAAAACCAAATATTACTGTTCTGCTAAAAGAATGTCACAATAAGGACTCCGACTGACATTCTGCCTTACTCACAGATCAGTACCTTATTCAGCCATCATCGGGGATGCTTCCTCCTGCAGGAAATGAGAACAACTACAGAGTATAACAGATGGACAATGTGCAGAGAATAAGAGACATTGGAATACTTAGCCCTAAATACAGGGTGTCTCCATTACATCCCTCCCCTCAGGGCTCAGGGAAATCTGCAGAAGAGGAAGCAGAAAGATTGATTGTAAGAGCCAGCAGGATGAGGATACCAAAGGAACAGTGCCTTCTAGATACACAGGAGCAAGGCACATATAGATTCTCAGAGACTGTGGCAACATACAAGGCCTCTGTCAGTCTGCTCCAGGTGGGCTCCTAGCACGTACTCAGAAGCTATGGGCAATTGATAGCTGCTGTGGGATGTTCTGTATGTCCTGTGGGAGCCCTTCTTGGGTTCTTTGTGGCGTTACCCAGCAGGTCCGCATAGTGGTTGATTAGGACCATGGGCCTGAGTGCAGGTGTCTGAGATGGTCTGCACTTGGCTGTGCTGGGGGATGGTCTGTATGTCAAGTTGTTCTGATTGATCAATAAATAA